TCTTTTAGGTAGTGGATGTCGCTCTGCGTATCTGCTAGGCTCTTGAAGACGTCCTTGAAGGAGTAGAGCTCGAGGTTGGTGAAGCACTTCTCGGCAAAGCGGCTGGCCTGTTGGTGGTCATGGTCAGCAACCGTCTTTACGATGCTTCAAGGTGGGCTGGAGGGGCACGGCGACGGCGACTTACCAGTTCACGGGTGAGCTCCTCGTGCGACAGCTGCCGCGGATTCTCGTCCGACAGTGCTTGACCCATGGTGTGCTCGTAATGGGAAATCAATAAGCATCGGTGGAGGTAGTTGCAGTAGTATGGCTTGCCGTGGAGCAGTCATCGACGGCCATGGCCATGTTCTGGGGAAGATGGAGGTAGATGAATGACGGGAGCCTGGGGTGCATGAGCAGCCAACGATTGCATAATAATGGGAAACCCAGCGCCCAGAGCTCAGCTGCAGGTGTCAAATCAGGACCCCCCTTCCATCCCCCAGGCGCCCAGCGCGTCATGTCTTGGGGGTGACAGTCTGGAGGCTAGGGGGTCAAGCCACTGCGGCGAGTGGGCGAAGCGCCCCGCAACGTCACTGGCCCGAGCTCCCCTGCCCCTCCACATGTGATGATCTCCCGCCCAGAGCATGTTCACGCATAAAATCATCGAGACCTCAGACCACCTGGAACTTCGCAGGGTAACAAGACATTGCTGTTAGTCATTTATGTAACTCGATGACCAATTTGCAGTTTGTTAGATAACGAGAACCCAAAAGCGTCTGTCAAGTGACTCTGCAGCCAAGCTCTCCATGCAAACCTGCACCATTTCACCGGCCTCATCCAAAACAGATGATCTATTCAAACCAATTGCGCCACCTATTATTGCCCAGTGCTTTTATGTACGACGGAGGGGAGTCTTCAATGAGACGTCAAGGTCCGTCCTCGATGCCAATGCCATGCCAATACTATACAACGCAGCCGTAAGTCGATGCAACAACAAATCGTCTCTTTCCTCATTTCTTGGGCTCATCCGACGATCCATCCGACGGCTTCCGTCCGTAGAGCTCGCCAATAACACCGAGTGAGCTCTTGGGGTTCTCCTTCTTGTCCTTCTGCCCCTCGGCCGCGGCCGGTGCCTCCGGCGCCGCACCCTCGGCAGGCTTGCTCCAGCCCGACAGGCCAATCGCACCCAAAACACCGCCGCCGCTCGCCTTCTTTTCCGCCTCTTCCGCAGCAGCACCCCCGGAACTCCTGGCCTCCGCCTTGGCGCGGCGCTGCTGCATCAGGCTCTTGAGGGCCTTCTCCTCCTCGTCACGGGCCTCGAGCTCGCGGATCCAGCGCTGCCTCTTCTCCTCGGCGTCCTTGGCCTCCTTGATCTTGCGCAGCTCGGCGGTGCGCTCGCGGTCCTTGTTGTAGTACATGCTGCCGGCAATCATGGCGAGAACGGTGAAGCCCTGGGCGGCGACACGGGCGCGGAACATCTTGTTCGCTTGGACGGCATCGCCGCGGCGGGTTGCGCGCCAGGCGGCGTAGAAGGCGTAGACGGTCATACCGCAACCTGGTGGTTGTTAGGTTGCGATTGAAGGAACTAAAGAGAGATGGACGTACCGAGAGGAATGAGGGGCTCTTCCTTCAGCTTGCGGAAGACCTTGTGCATGATGCGCTCATCGTAGAAGTCACTGTTGGCGGGGTCAACGGTTAGCAAGACTTTGGGTCTGAGCTGTGGTCCCTGCTCGCGTGCAGCTTACTTGTTCTCGTCAAAGGACGAGGGCATCTGCCTGTCCATGACTGGGAGTCTCTCGTCGCCGGGCATGTTTGCGAGAGTGCGATTGGATGTTCAACTCGTTGTGCCGGGGCGGTGGTTGTTGACTATTTGAGGTCGCAGAGTCGGCAGCGCAGTCATGCGATTTGCAGTGGTCGGCGAACTTCGATGATGAAATGGACTCTCAGGCCCTTTGATTTTCGGGGTCTGGCGGGCAGCTGGCTGGACGCGCCGCCGGAGCTCGACCCTTGAGCACATTTGCGGCAAATCCCGGCATTTCAGGCGGCTTAGGTAACAAAGCAAGTGTGCCTTCCACCTCTTAATTAAGACATCTGCGCCGAAACCTCAGGCAACACGAATGGCAACTGCTGCACGGACCAAGCATCCAGATTTGAGGTCACATTGGAACTCTCATCGAAATTCATTGAGTGAGTCTCTAATAGTGGATTTCACGATCCATCTCTACCTCATGACCAATTGCTCAGTGTCACTTCAACAATCAACTCAATTGCACTCTATTGAACATGTACCACATCAGTTACTAACCATTTCCTTAGTAACAACTACCAATTCATCCTGAGTCACAATTCAAGAGGTTGGACAAACTCAATTTGGAGACCCAAACCAACCGATGTCGCCCAGAGACCCAGCCAAACGCAGGGGAACGGCAGCCGGCCTGCTGGCACCGCAGCACGAACAGGGGTCCTCCAGCCAATCCCAGCGCCGCCAATAGCGCACCTCACCGCAAAAACCGTCCGATTTCTACCCCGCGACACCGAATTGAGCTCCGATGTGTGCCCCACTATGAACAAATTTCCAGTTTAATCCAGGCCATCGCTGTCGGTGACTCTTCGCCAGGCCATTTCTTTTAGTTGAAGCCTCCCGGCCACGATTGTTGTCGTCGCCGACTCAGTCCCGTCCTCTCGTTCATCCTGCAACAATCCTCCTCACCACCATGTCCGAGTCGACCGAACCCCCCGTCGTCGCCGTCATGACCAACGGCACTCTCAACGGCGTCAATGGCGACCACGCGCCCCGGCCTCGCACCCCGCAGCCCAGCGGCATGTCCCTGACCGAGTACAGCGCCAACCCGTCCACGCCGCCGGAGGAGAAGCGCAACCGCATCAAGACCGTCGTCCCGGAGGACTACCTCCTCCCTGATGGCAACCCAGACGTGAGAAACCTCTTTGCGGCCCTCAATGGCTGACAGGAAACAAGCTGACACGATCCCTTCACAGTACCTCCGACTCATCGCCGCCGCAACCTCCCGCGTCTACGAAGCCTGCAAGGTCACCCCCCTCCAGCCCGCCGTCAACCTCTCCAACCGCCTCGAGTGCAACGTCCTCCTCAAGCGCGAGGACCAGCAGCCCGTCTTCAGCTTCAAGCTGCGCGGCGCCTATAACAAGATGGCTCACCTCGACCCCGCCGTCAGCTGGAAGGGCGTCGTCTGCTGCTCCGCCGGCAACCACGCCCAGGGCGTTGCCTACTCGGCCCGCAAGCTCAAGATTCCGGCCACCATCGTCATGCCCGAGGCCACCCCGAGCATCAAGCACCTCAACGTCGCCCGGCTCGGCGGCCACGTCGTGCTCCACGGCGCCGACTTCGACGCCGCCAAGGAGGAGTGCGCCCGCCGCGCCGCCCAGGACGGCCTCATCAACATCCCCCCCTTCGACGACCCCTACGTCATCGCCGGCCAGGGCACCATCGGCATGGAGCTCTTCGGCCAGATCAACATGTCCAAACTCGATGCCATCTTCTGCTGCGTCGGCGGCGGCGGCCTCATCTCCGGCATCGGCGTCTACGTCAAGCGCATGGCCCCCCACGTCAAGATCATCGGCGTCGAGACCTACGACGCCAACGCCCTCGTGCAGTCTCTCTCCAAAGGCGAGCGCGTCGTCCTCGACAACGTCGGCCTCTTCGCCGACGGCGCCGCCGTCAAGACCGTCGGCGAGGAGACGTTCCGCATCTGCAAGGACGTCGTCGACGAGGTCGTCCAGGTCACCACCGACGAGGTCTGCGCCGCCATCAAGGACATGTACGACGACACCCGCGCGGGCCTCGAGCCCGCCGGCGCGCTCTCCATTGCCGGCCTCAAGAAGTACACCGCGCAGCACCCCAGCGACCGCAAGCGCACCATGGTCGCCGTCACCTCGGGCGCCAACATGAACTTCGACCGCCTGCGCTTCGTCGCGGAGCGTGCGACGCTCGGCGAGGGCAAGGAGGCCCTGCTCGCCGTCAGCATCCCCGAGCGGCCCGGCGCCTTCGCCAACCTCATCAACACCATCATGCCGCACTCCGTCACCGAGTTCTCGTACCGCTACGCGACGGAGGAGGTCGCCAACGTGCTCATCGGCATCTCGCTCACGGCGCCGGCGTCGCAGCGCACGCAGGAGCTGCAGACGCTCCTCGAGCGGCTGCGCGCGAGCGACATGGCCGTGACGGACCTCTCGGGCGACGAGCTCGCCAAGAGCCACATCCGCTACCTCGTCGGCGGGCGCTCCAACGTGCCGCACGAGCGGCTCTACATGTTCAACTTCCCCGAGCGCCCCGGCGCGCTCGAGAAGTTCCTGCGCACGCTGCGCCCCAAGTTCAACATCAGCCTGTTCAACTACAGAAACTACGGCGGCGACGTGGCCAAGGTGCTCGCGGGCATCGTCTGCCCCGACGACGAGGTCGCGGATCTCGAGACGTTCCTGACCGAGATTGGATACCCGTGGGAGGACTGCAGCCAGTCGGGCGTTTTCAAGACTTTCCTCCGAAGCTGAGGAAAGTAAACCTCCGAATTATTCTGTTCATAGACATTTGCTTCTGGTATATGATTTGGTTCGGCGTCGGGAGTTCTTTGATTGAGGCGAGTTGGGGGTCCAAAAAGGTAGACATTGGACAAAAGGAAGAGCATCATTATAGAGAAAAGTGTTCAATTTTTAAGCATATTGAATGAGTCCCATTGATCGTTCTTAATTTGTCTTATTGACGATGGCGGATGCCCCACCGGTCTCGACAGCGTTGTGAGTTATCACTGACGGTCGATTACTTGCGCGAAGTGATCTCAATATAAACCTGCATATAAGAGATATTAATGTTCAAAAACTACCGCTTGTACACGACCAAATCATGCCGCAATGCCCAAATTCAACGTGAACCCGTCATCTGCAGTCCGTCGCAATCCAACTTTTTCATCCGATGTCGCCAATCGCGATAAGAGCCAACGCGCGATAAGCGCACAGACATCCACCCACGTGACACACCCAAAAAAGCTCCCGCGATGTCTAAGCCATCCAGGTCACCCAACATCGTCGTCGTCGTCGTCGCCAGCGGAGCCTCCCAATCGACCACGATCTCGCCGTCCCGTCGTCTGCCGCAGCCTGCATTCGACCCCGAAACCACGAGCCGCAATCACCAAGCGCACCGAAACACAAGAATGGCCTCCCTCGCCGCCTCATTCAGGGCGCTGTCCCTCGCGACCGCCCGCCCGCAATGCTGCGCCGCCGCCGCCGCGAAGCTCGCCGTTGCGAGCCCCATGCGCGCCAACATGTCGACGGTGATTATGACGAGGCAGCCGATGGCCAAGACGGAGGCGTTGTTTGCGAAGAAGAGCGCCGCTGCTGCTGTTGCGGGCGCGGTGGCGCAGCAGACGAGGGGGATGAAGGTGCATTCTTCGGTGAAGAAGAGGTGTGAGCACTGCAAGGTGAGCTTTTTTTTCTTTCCGGGGTTTGAGGAAGAGGGTGGGATGCCGGGAGACTTGGTGAGGAGGAGATGAAGTGGCGTGATGTGTTGGGAGGAGGAGACGGGAAGATGGAGGCGGGAGAAGGACCAGTTTCTGGGGAAAACGGCATGGACATGGGCTAATGGGATGTTTCTTCACAGATCGTCCGCCGCAAGGCCGGCAAGCGACACAACGGCTATCTCTACGTCATCTGCAAGGCGAACCCGAGACACAAGCAGCGCCAGTCGTAGTCGAACGAGGGCCGGGTTTGGGGATGATTGTGTACGCTACGGAGGCAGATTGGTGCGAGGACGTGTTGCTGCATAGACGAGGCTGCGACGTAGCCTCTTTACTTCAAGAGCTTGGGGTCTTGCGATGAGAGGAAGGAGAAACGAGCGTCACGGAGGATAGACGCATTGAGGCAGAGGCCTGTTGTATTATACAGATCGGGATATTACAAAAAAACGCAACAACTAAACTCTACATTCCGTCAATGTATCGCTCCATGCCCTGGAACTCTGTTTTGCCGGTTGAGATGAGGTAGCGGATGTGGTTCTGGGTTGGGGTTAGTGTATGAATGTGTTTGCCAGAGATGACAGATAGAGACGGAGAGCGACAGAGACGGAGAGAGACAGGGACGGAGAGAGATGGAGACAGAGATAAAGACAAAGACAGAGAAAGAGATGAAGAGAGAAAGCGATAGAGACGGAGACGCAGAGAGAGAAAGAGACCAAGGTGGGCGTACAATATCCGTCACGTCTCTGTGACGCTCAAACTCATCACGGGCGTAGCGGCGGGATTCGGCGCGGGTGGTCGGGTCCGCGATGCGTTGTGTGCCGCGCAGGATTTCGCGGTAGAGGGACAGGGCGCGGGAGCGCTGGAGGAACTGTGTACTCGTCAAAATCCATATTCTTATCATTAATTTTGCGCCGTGTGGTTCTTAAATGTCATGACCATGTTAATGTCAGGTGGGTGAGAGTTGGGAAAGGCAACATACATGATCCAGACTCAGCGTCTTCCCGAGGCGCGACTTGGCCGGGCCATTGGAGTAGCTGCGGATAGCGGACCACAGGGGGGTGAAGGGGGGCATTGGTGCCGCGGTGAAAGGGCGACTACATCTGAATATTGATGATGGTCTCAAGTGAGCCTCTAGCCTCTCAAGGTGAGCGAATGGTGGGTGAGTGTGGAAACTTTTTGGGTGGATGAGGTCAGGACGGGGAAACTTCGGGAGTGTGCCCCCCGGGGGATCGAAGTGCCCCGCGGCCCGGGGGGTGATGCATGCTTTAGTGGACGCGTCGGGGCGCGTTCAGCGAGTTGGGATTCTGGGATTACAACGAAGCGAAAGGGGAGGACCTGAGTAAGGTCACGGATCCTTTATCTCTGGCAGGGAGAATATTGTTCAGGATTTCGAGTTTTATATGAATTTGTCTTTTTTCCCTTCGCCTTACCTTCTGTGGTCTGTTGGTGTCCAAAAGCTCAAGATGCCCGTCAAGCGGCGGAGGGCGCCTACAAACCCCATCGAGTCCGCGAACCGCAAGACGGACGAGGACTTCGTCAGAGACCACCTGCAGCGACCCAGGTTCGTACGGCACCTCATGCATCACAGCCATGGACGACACACTTACCTTTGAATAACACGACAGCGCAGACTGGACATCATGGAAGCACCCCGCGACCAAGAAGGCGTACACCCTCGCGCTCAAGTCGCCGGCCAAGATGTCGGTCGACGAGATGCAGGCGTGCTTCGACCTGGTGGAGTACACGAGCGGCGCGGACTACCGCGCGTCGTCGTGGGGGTGGAAGCCGGCGGCGAAGATCAAGGAGATGCGGAGCCCGGAGCTGCGGTACGTGCTCGTCAAGGAGTCTGACGGCGAGAGGTTGTGTGGGTTCACGAGCCTGATGCCCACGTTTGAGGAGGGCGAGGCGGTGGTGTATTGCTATGAGATTCACTTGTTGGAGGAGCTGCGGGGGTGAGTTCTACTTTTTTGTGATGGTGTTTGGCTCGTGATGCTTGAAACTTGCTGACGGTGATGTAGCACGGGAATGGGCCGCAAGCTGATGGACTACCTCGTCGCCGTCGCGGAGAGCATACCCATCGTGGAAAAGGTGATGCTGACGTGCTTCGTGGCCAACAAGGCGGCGCGGGGGTTCTACGAGAAGCTGCGGTTCGAGAGGGACGCGACGTCGCCGGTCGAGAGGAAGTTGCGGTTCGGCAAAGTGTTTGTGCCGGACTATGTGATCATGAGCCGAAAGATTCAGCGCCGCGAGGGCGGACAAGTTGATTCGAAAGATGGTGGTGGGGATGTTGAGGCCGAGGTTGATGGGGTGAAGAAGTCCAAGAGGAATGATTCATGATGCATGTTCTCTGCTTTCTTCACCCGATTAGGGAAGTTCATGAGATACCAAGATACAGCGAATATTCGAATTCGGAATCGATAGACGAACTAGTTTGGTCCTGCAGATTCGCTCGTTGATTTGGGGCAATGGTGGTGGGTTGAGGTTACATGCAGCCAACTGAGGCTGAGAAGGAACCACACACAACTACTGCATGGGTCGGGAATAAGCTCGAGGAGACCAAGTCCCAAGTGCCACACAGCGGGCAATTAACAGTGGGCTTTTATTTGCTTTGCCCGCCCTGCAGGTGGACATGCCGTGGGCGGCGGCAGGGAAGCTGAGCCTAAAAAGTACCTCACCTCTCGCTTCCACGGCTGAACATTCCTTCATTCCACCTCACGCCCACTTGGCAGGACCCGACTTGCTCTGGCGGCGACGATCACAGTAAGCGCTGTCGAGGGAAGCATCCACTTGGAGTAAGGCGACGAACCCCGGGAATCCTGCCTGCCGAGAGTTTATTCCCTTGAGGACTGGTGCTGTTGAGTTCAGGGTGTTTCTTCACTTCAAGACAAGGTCAAACGGCAGCCGATTCTCTCGTCCCAAAAGGGGTTGATGCTCTGGATCATGTTACACAAGACTCATCTCACCACATGCCAGCTCCTCACCCCAGATAATTACTCAAGCCATCTTTTGGGCTGACTTGCTCAAAATCTGCAAATGGAGAAAAAGAAAGGGAAGGACTTTCACTTCCACCCCTGCATCAGCGTCCCCAGCTACACAGCCCGCCAAGCTCAGCCTTAGGACGCCATCGCCTCCTAGCGGCGCCCCTCCGGTTGCTGCCTCCCACGTCTTCCACCCATGTTGCCTATCATCACAGCAAAATGGTTAGAAAGCCACAGGGGCGGGCTCGTCAGGCAGACTCCAATTGACAGTCTGTGAACAATGAAGGGTCTGATCGCAGCGTCCCTCTCCGCCGATCTGGTTCCGCACCACGAGAGCGCCATATGGGTCCGACAGAAAGGATTCAGGCATCGATATATGGCATGAGACGAAGCGGCCGGCAAACATGCCACCACGAGCCCCGTCTCTCCAGACGCCGATTGGGGCGCCATCTAACGGTTTAGTGCGGACCACTGGTGTTGAGGTAAAAAGGTTGGCTGAATCTTTTCATTAACCCTCCGGCTCAGCTGCTGGCCAGGGTGAGAAGCTTGGTGTGACGTTAAACCGCTTCCGGCCCATTTCTCGAGCTTCACGCAGGCGTTGCCCGACTGTTTATTTCCCCTCCCCCTTCTGCATCCGTCTGGTTGGTCTTTCCCACATGATTGTCTCAGTTCCTTCCTCCTTGGCTGATTTACTTAATTAGTTCCTTCCCGTTTTCAAACGCAGCTACCTCTGGGGGCCAATTCATATATCAACGTGTCCCCCCTTGCACCTCGTTCCCAATCCGTCTGAACGACTTCCTTTCCGTGCCGTCTGCATCATTACACCACCTCGCCCGCCTTTCCTATTCGCTGCTCAGGTCATCACCGTTACAAATTACAACGCTCCCAGACCAACGCCATCATGGATCACCAGCAACAGCAGCAGCAACAGCAATACCAGCAGCAGCAGCAAATGCAGCCGAACCCATACGAGGGCCAGCCCCAGCAGCAGCCCATCCAACAGGAGTACGCCCAAGGCGCCGCCGTCCAGAACCAGGAATGGCAGGCCGGCTTGTGCAGCTGCTCGCCGATTGACAGCTGCTGCTTGGCCTACTGGCTACCATGCATCCGTACGTCTCTCTTACATCTCCTAACGCGCCTCTCATCGAGGACGGCTCTTTGCCTCGTTGATCAACCATGACTAACACCACCCCACAGTCCTAGGCAAGACCTCAGAGCGCATGCGCGACCCCACGATGCAGACGTACGAGGCCATCAACACGGACTGCCTGCTCTACGGTGCTATCCAGTGCTTCACCGGTTGCGGGTGGATCTACGCGCTCATGAAGCGCGGCGAGATCCGTGAGCGCTTCGGCATCAAGGGGTCTGGCGCGAGCGATTGCTGTGTGAGCTACTGGTGCTGCTGCTGCGCGCTCATCCAGCAGGACAACGAGGTCAAGGCGCGCCTGTCTACGGGACCTATCGTCCAGGGGTACCAGCCGCAGAAGGAGGGCATGCACATGCCGCCGCACCAGCCGCACAACTAAACGGGATGGTAGACATGTACGATGAAACGAGGGGTTCTGAAAGTTGGCGACGAGGGATGGTGCTGCTCGGCTTTCTTTTTGTTCATGGACATGGTTTAAGGATATGGGATACCCGATGGATGGGGGCAACCACAGGCGACTGGATGGAGTCGTTGGGGCACGCACTTACCTACAAGAATTCAAGTATAATAATTCGAAGAAGAGCTTATTGGCCCGTCTGGCATGAGACACAGCTATGAATCACTTCAGGTTCCTCGTCTGATTGTTGACTTGTTCGCACGTTAGATCGAACGTCGGCTCCAACGCGATGGACCGTCGATACAACGTCTCTGCACCATCCTGTCGATAGCATCGCTGTAAGGTGTTATGTGTGGGCGGACACGGATGAGGGACGTCGACAGAGCGAGTAAGAACTCCGACGACCACCACGATGACACATTCGACATAAGCAACAAAACAAAACATGGACATTGGTGAAGCCAACTCCTACAAGAATAGGGTTCACCAGCAGAGAACAGTCCATCAAGGCGTAACCCGTCGCCGGGGACGTATTGATAGGAATTTGAGAACCTCTCTCGACCATCACGAGGTGGCGGACAGAGTTTACCGGCAGAACCGCTCACATGGATACCAACGGGTTGTTCAGCCATGTGATACAGAGTGATAATCGACAGAGGTTCTCAACTACTTTAAGTGTATTCTTCAACCGCTTATACTTTCCTATATCCAAAAACACCAACTTATCAAAGCTTCAAAACAGAAGACGATGAAGACAATACGCAGCCTCCTCGCCAACCTCCGGGGAACCGCCCCCGACCCCCTCCCGACCATCCGCTTCCGTCGCGATCTCGTCCCCCACAGTCCCCCCAGCATCCCCACCGGCTACGACACATCATGGCAAACCCGCCGGCTCGAGAACTACTCCTCCAACCCCTTGCTCCGCCTCCCCAACGAGCTGCTGCTCGAGATCATGGAGTGCCTCGCGCCGCCGGACCTCTACCTCGTCCGGCAGGTGTCGTACCTCTTCGCGGCGCTCTTCCGCTACGCCGCGTTTTCAGAGTACCACCAGCAAACCGCGGCGATCGACCCGAAGACGGCGGAGCCGAGCGTGCACCGGCTGCTGCGCGCCTATCGTAGGCTCAGGGGCAAGACGGCGCCTGTTCCGCATTTCATCCCGGGTGTTGAGTTTAATTTGGAGGCGCTGCGGGCGGAGGAGCGAGATGGTCTGCAGTATGTTTTGCAGAGACGGATTTTTTGTGCGCGATGTTTGGCTGGGAGGAGTCAGGAAAGGCAGGGTATCTATCCGCGCTACACCCGGGGGGACAGGTACGTTGCATGTGCCGCTTGCATGTGCTCCCATCGCCCAAGCTGGTTCTCCCCCGCCGAACGACAGCGTCGAGATCGAATCTGCATCGGATGGGAAGGGATGCTGCGGATCTGCCCGCATACCCTGCTTTCCTGGCCACGCGTCCAGGGCTGGATTGGCGCAGGGCCTAGCAGGACAAGGTCTGTCTTGCGTTGCCGGCAATGCGCCGATGCGTTCGGGCGACACGGCGAGGCCCCTGAAGTCACCTATGAACCCTCGCGGACGGGGGATGCTGCAGGCGAGTTGAGGCTTGGATGGAAGGCGCCTGTTCACGCTTTATCGAGCGGGGAGGTCCTTACCAAGGAGGCGATGCGTAGAGCGCTCAAGCGATTTGATGAACTGCATCCGGGATTGCTGTGCCCACACGTCTCGTTCGACTTGGAAAAGCTGATGAAGGTGTTTTACTGGCACCGGTGTGTCTGCTTCAGACAGCCGTCGGCGTTGGCGCTGGAGTACCACAGGAGCGACGAGAGAGACGGGCTATCGTGCCTTTGCTGCGCAACCCAGAACACTGCCGACGAAAGGCGCGTGGGCAGGTTTCCGATATCGTCGATTTATAGCATGTCGCGCCACTACACGTTGTGTCGTCAGTGCTATTACCGTTACGAGTGGACATCGGACGGCAAGAGGATTTACTTGCGCGGCTCTCTGCACTCGATAGGCGCCACCTCCGAGATCTCGACGGACAAAGACGGGCACATCAATAGACGGAGGCCCTCGAGTGACTGGCTGAGGACGATGGATCCGTCAACGTACCAGCAAACGGAGGAGTGGCGCCATTTGAAATGGTGTCCGGATAAGTCCTGTGCGAATTCAACGAACAGGAGCACTTGGTATTGACGTGGAGCGTTTCCCGAGGGTATATATGCGTGGGGTAGGTTGTCATTCTTGAATCAGTATAGTATTGATGTGGGAGGTCCAGAGATGCTAATCGTTCCGACGCCAAGTTGAGAGGTTTAAATATTCGGACGGGTAGGTCTGGTTGTTCGACCCCATCGTGACTATGGACGACTAAGATAACCACAAAGATAACGACATGGCGGAAAGCCTCGGGGGGATTGCGACGATAAATGCTTGAAATACTTCATAATCTAGTTGTAAAATTGTGTATAAATGTCATGGTATCCGTATCCAAACCGCCCAACGCCAGGGTTATGCTGAAAAACATCGCTGATCCAAAAGACTTGGCTATCCGTCTAATCATCTAATTCCCATCTCTCTTACCAATTGAAGCTCTCCTGGAAGTACTCGATCCTAGAATACCCGCGTCCGAGCATCTCAACAACGCTCTTCCGCGCGTCGTCAGCCATGACGTTTGGCCCGCACGCCACAACCGCGAGCCGGCTCTTCTCAGCCGCGGTCGCGGCGTCCTGCACCTCCTCCCTCACATCCGGGCGTCCGTACATCAGCCTGACGTGCTCGGGCCAGTCGTCGGGCCGCACGGCGTTCGTCGCGAGACTCGTCTGCGTGACGTAGATATCCACGGCCAGCTTCCCGCTGTCGAGCGCGTCCTCGAAGTCCTGGCGGAGGACGTCGGCGGCGAAGCTCAGCTCGCGGACGGCCCAGACGATCTTGACGGAGCGGGCGCGGGAGGCGGCGCGGCAGAGGTGCTGGAGGTGCGCGAGGGGGACGACGACGCCGCTGCCGCCGACTATGAAGAGCAGGTCGTCGAACTGGGAGAAGGGCTGGGTGTGGCCGTAGGGGCCCTCGACGAAGACGCGGAGGCGGGCGGGGCGCGGCCAGGGGGCGGCGGCGGCCTCGCGGAGGCGGGCGGTGAAACTGTCGTAGGGGCGGATGAGGAAGGTCATGGAGGGGGTGCCGGTGCGGGGGTGCAGGTCGACCTCGGACATGGGTTCGACGGGGTTATCGTCGGAGGCGACGAGGAGCGGGGTCTGCTCGGAGGAGAACTTGCGGGTGTGGTGGGTGTTGAGGGTGGTGCAGGCCATGGTGAAGGGGTGGCTTTCCCAGGCGCGCTTGTCGGAGAGGACGTGGAGGTAGTAGTAGGTGCCGGGCTTGGGCTCGTAGAAGGAGGTGGGGTAGGGGATGCTGAGGCGGACGATGTTGGAGGTGGCGTCGTAGGTTGCGAGGGCGAAGGTGTTCCAGAACCTGAGGTTGAAGGCGAGGGTGCGGGACATGCGGAGGACGCGGTCGGCGACCCAGATGTAGAAGGGGATCCAGAAGAGCATGTCGAACTGGTGGTTGAAGATGGAGACGTGGCCGAGCATGGTGACGAGGGTGAGTATGGAGAGGAGGATGTGGAGGACGAGGAAGAGCTCGTACTGCTTACGGCGCATCCAGAAGACGGAGGCGACGAGGAGGAAGACCATGCCGAAGGTTGCCTGTGGGGGTTAGCGATGGACGAGTTGATGATGCTGGGAGTACTCACAAACCAGCCGGCCCACCAGAACATTTGCGTGAACCACCAGAGGAAGTATGTCCAGCCGCCCTCGCTTAGAATGAGCAAAACGTAGGCAGCGGTATGGATGACAGCCTGGACTGTCGCAACGCGAGCAACCCAGCGGTGAAAGTTGTTGTACGTGCCAAAGTCCCAGCCGGTCACCCACATGAGGAGGTTGTTCCTCATGCCAAACAGCCAGATGATGGGAAAGTTAGCAAAGGAGATGATGCCGGTTCGGTCGGCGACGTAGCGGCCGATCTGCTTCGACATGTCCGGCCAGCTTCTTGAGTCAGTACAGTACTGAGATGGTGGAAGGGATGGACCTACTACATGTGCCCCGGGAGGAGGGAATAGCCGTAGCAACAGTACCACGTGTTGACGGCGATGAAAGCGAAGATGGTGATGCTCTGGATGCGCGGCGGTATCGTGCACCAGCCCAGGTTCTGCGAGCAGCGGTAGCCAAAGGTCGCCGGGATGGTGATGTACCGCTTGAGCCAGAGCGCAGCCCAGTGCAGCGCGTTGGGCTTCTTCTCCGAGTCCCATTCCTGGCGCTGGAGGCTGGCGATGGCTCCGACAAGACGGGTCGCCAGACCGAAAGCGCACACAATAACCCAAAAGACAATAACATAGAATCTGGGATCTTGTCAGCGGTGCTTCGTCGACTCGAGGTGATGCACATACCCATATCGATAATGCCGACTGTAGGTATACTCTACCGATTCCAAAGAATCATACCAAATCTGGTAAAACGGCTCCGCGGGCAGCACAACCTCGTTCAAGACAGTCCCCGCCGTGCCCTCCTCCTTCGTCAGCCTCCTCAGGCCCTTGATCTCCTCCTCCGAGTACCCTCCGATAATCTCCAACGGTGGCAGCGACACGTTCATGTACTGCTGACATGTCGCGTTCTGCGTGCTCAGCCCGGCATCCCGGTGCGGCGCGTCGCAGTGCAGGTGCGTGCAGAGGTACAGCGACTTGATGTGCAGCAGGCTCTTGCACGATTGCGGGAGCTTCGACTTGGCCGGGGCGGTGTCGTTGAAGTGCGGCTGGCGGATGGTGTTGACGCAGGCGTCGTAGCAGAGGCCGCCGACGGACACGGTGGAGGCGGCGACGGAGGTGGCGAAGAGGAGCGCAGTCGCGGCGACGACGGTGAGATTGAGGCCCGGTCCTCGTCCTCGTCCTGTCGCCGAGGACGGCGATGACCACGGTACGCGCATCACGGTCGGGAGCTTCGCATCTGGTCTCGCTCGGGCCGTTGGCGGGGGTTTGCTGTGATATGCGAGCTGCTGCTGGGCGATGGTGATGATGCGAAATGCCTTTGGAGGGGTTGGTTGGAAATGTCTGGAGCGAGTTGCAAGGGGACGCAGACGCAAAGACTGGGCAGCTCACGGCAAGTGGGAAAGAAAAGGCGAGGTGAGGTGCCTCGGGAGGGACAGCTCGGTGCTCCGAGGGGTTGAGGGAAAATGTTACTGAAGGATTCGGGGGTGGGAGAGTGGTGAAATTTAGGATCTTATCAGATCATCTGATTAAGCGTCCCCACTGGCTTAGGTTATCGCGATTATCCACCGGCATCGGCACCAGCCCGTGACCTGGCCCCTCTGTGCCGGGTCACCCCTTGAAATGGTGTAGATGCTGCTGTAATTACCTAGTGTGTGGTGATGGTGCATGACACTCGTGGAGGAGGACAGGCAGTCAACTGGGACGGCTGCCTTCCAAGGTTGGCTGGGCGAGAGAGGAGGGGCTTTGCCTTAAAAAGGGCGGCTATTAACTCACCTGATGCTGGCCACGCAGCGTGTTGTCTCACTGTGAGAATCCCACGCATGCATCCCGCCGGCCGCTGCTTTTGGGCGCCGCCGTTTCCGAGACTTAACGTTCATGAAAAATGCACTCAAACACTCTCATAGAAAGTAGTTTTTGCAATCAGCGCCGGCTACTGCGCTCAAACGTCCGATAATGCCCTCTGAAAGTAAGGCCCGTGATACGCGGGACCACCCGCTAAGCTTTCGGGAGCCCGGCTATCAGGCGGGAGACCTGCGCTTAAAGTCACCCGCCATCACGGAACTCACTAGGGCATTCTCCCGCCAAACGAAATTCTGGCTCTTCTATTCCATCTCCTCATGCATCCTGCATGAAATTCATTCAATACCACTCTGTAAGTAAAGCAGCGACGATCCATCAAATGCCCCCTCAGTCCACTCCCGGGAGCAGCAACCGAGCAGGGCCTACCCTTGGAGGACCACTGCGACTTCAGCAGTGCCCGCTCTCCCCCGCCGGCGGTTCAAGGACCTTCCCTCCCGCGCTCCCGTTGACACATCACCACCCGCCGAGTCGGAACCGCCGCACCGCCGATGTTCGTCCCATTCTCGACCACACGTCACCAGCAATTATCGTCCAGACAGCCCACAAAATTTCAGGATGGATGATTGAGAATTCTGGCGCGTGAGTCACCACACATCTAAATGCCGCGACTGCCACTTTCAATACAGAGTGAATTTACAAGTAACCCCATCAAATCCACCCGCCACTAACAGCCTCCCCATCCCTCCTCGGTCTCCCAGGAACATTCAATGCCGGCGGCACCAGCCCCTCGGAGCCCCTCTCAACGTGATTTCCTCTACTATACATCGATGAAGTCCCTCTCCCCTGGTCAAAAACTTCCATATCATAGACACCCGGACTCATCGGGGGACGCGGTGGAGCAGGCGGCGGCGGCGGGAACTTGGGCGGCAACCCGCTAACCATGTACGGCCCCGAGATCGCCATGCTCCCCCTCCGATTAAGCCCCGTGAACCCCTCCCGCTTCTTCTTCTTCTTGTTCCATATGTACAAGTACACGACCCCGCCTGCAAGGAGGCCGAGGAACGCGAGGGCGCCCGCGACGCTGGCTGCTATGGCCCCCTTTGAGGCTTCTTGCTGCGGTTCCAGCGTCGATGTTGGGAGGGGACTCGCGGTTGCTGCTGATGGTGTCTCAGATCCCGTGAGAATCTTGGATGTGGAATCGATGATGGTGGTTAAGATGGGGCCGGACAGGTCCGTCGGAGACGCCAGGAGGTTACCCGTGCCGCTTGTGGAACTGCATTCGTAGAGGGTAAACGTCGACGCATCATCGGTAGAAAGCCAGGTGTAGCATGCGGTATCCGGTCGGTATTTGCTGTTCGGGACGTTAGCATTGTGAACCACGCCAGATGGTCAACATCTGCCTGCTCACCAGCACAGCTCGCCCTCTTTACAGCCGCCCGCTATGGACTCCACGGACGACCCGAGGCATTTTGTTGGTACAGGGGAGCGGCAGCCTAGGAATGAGTTCGACGATATGCACGACCCGGGACACGTCCACGCCTGGTCTTTTGGGGATATCCTGTGAGGCGATTAGTACGTGTAGCGGGGACCCCAAGTGACAAGATACGGCCTACGTCGGTGCAGAAGTAGGAGAATCAATGAAGCCGCAGGTATTCGGCTCCTTGGTGAAAGGAAGCTGAGCGGCAGCAGCGCCTTTGGTCGTCGAGGATTGAGACTCGGAGTATGCCATTGCTATGGTCGAAGATGGAGTAATCGAGAATGAACGTAAATGGTCAACTTGCAGCGAAAAATGATTCTTGACGATCCTTTTATCGTGAGATGCTGCCAGAGTTTGTTGTAGAATCTGCTGTGAATAACTGCAATACTACTTTGAAAAATTGCGAACAGCATCAAACTGATTCACTGCGGGAGGAGCCAAAACCTAGTGAGTCAGTAAGGGACTGAAAAATATATTTTGACTACTTATCGCACGAGTAAAACAACGCGACCATGAAGGAATTATGTTTTTCGACGATGTGCTAGATGGATCCAACATGGCGATATCTAAGGACAGCAGTCGGCTAAAGTCCTGCCGGGCTTCTGTTAAAGAAATACACTGGCTGTCGGGATGGCAGAAAAACATCGTTGCTCATTGAAATAAATATTTAGATTAGGCTTTCGCCGTTCGTTGGCATCTTTACTACATTAAGCTGTTCGTTTTCTTTTCGCCGATTCTGAGGACTCAGTCGCCTTAGAGACGGAAATCTTCTCGCTTTTCTCATCATCGAGCAATTCATCCATCAGCTCGCTCTTTTCGTCCAAGGCAGCCCACTTCGGTCTGCCATCAGGCAAATCTACCACCCTCTGCTTATAAAAGATGTGCATCCTACACCATGTCAGCACATCCGCATCTCAAATCGCCTCACCCAGCCCAAAATTTCAATCAAACGGAACGGCAAAGACACTCACTGCACATCAAACTTCTCCCTCTTCTCCTCCTCGTCAAAATGCAACAGCCCCGGAAACAGCAACACCATATTCCTCCCCTCGTCCATGATCCGGCTCCCGCAGTGGCCGCACGACACCTTACACGGCAGGTCGTGGTTGGTCTTCTTGGAGCCCGAGTTGTAGAACGCGAGGCCGTCGACGCCGCGGTCGAAGGCGAGGTCGGTCTTGTGGAAGATGGCGGCCCACTGGAAGGGCGCGCCGTGCATCTTCTGGCAGTCGCGGCAGTGGCAGAACTTGGAGGCGAGCGGGCGGTCGCGGGAGAGCCAGTAGGAGACCTGGCCGCAGTGGCACTCGCCGCGGATCTTCTTGTCGAAGGGCTTGCCGTCGATTTCGGCTTGGGAGGAGGGCAGGTAAGGGGCGGCGGTTTTCCAGTCTTGGTCGAAGGAGTTGGAGCCCATTTTGGAGGTTGTGGAGAAGTGGTGATGGGTTGGGGTGAAGATGAACGGCTTGATTGTTTCTGAGATTCGAAATGTGATTGGGAGTTCGAATCGGTGAGATGCTGTTGTTTTTGAGTAAAGGAATGTGGTTGATGGACGGAGGCAGTGACGCGGGAGTGATGACATCACTTTTAGGAGTTCTGCTCCGGTTTGGGGCAGAAATGTCTATGATGCCGTTATTCTCAATCTAGAAAAAAGCAATGGCACAGATGAGTATCAAAGGGGGTTTTGATGCACGGACGAGGTTGGTGTGGTTGTGGCTTGAGCTTTTGTTCTTGGGGCCGTTTGAGGTTCTGCACGAAATGCGAAAACGATGGATTATAACAACGGACTTGGCTCAAATAGCTTGAAGAAGTTCTGAGGAATATGCCATTGCATATGTAATTGCTGAGATCATTTCAGGGTCATGTCCAGCATTTGACTGGACTATGGAGATGGTCTGCCCCTGACGGGAGTGCTTGGACTGGTCATCGAGCCATCATCGATCCGATCTTCTCCACAAACGGTCGGCGAATCAGATGAACTAGGGACCTGAGCGCCCGACAACGCTTGATTGATTCTAGTTGCCAGTTCGAGCAACTTAAAACCTTGCGACGCGTGGTGCAAGTATGATCAGAAGTTGACGTCGCATGCTGATATTGCAATTATAATTGAAGACTGGTTATAGTAAGGTATTTCTCATTCGAAGAGATCTCTAAATTTACAGATGTTGCGAAGTATGTCACTTGTTCCCTCTGTGTAACTCAGTATGAAGTGGACATCATGCAGTCCAATCGTTCGACTCCTGTCTAAGAATTCTTATCTTAATTTCCATGCTTTGGAACTCCCATGATTTCCCAATCCCTTTGCCATCTTTCGAGCTCGCGCTGTACCTCCCATTTCTTGTTCTTTGTAATGCTACCGCTGGCAAGGGTTTCGATGACCGTCGGAGAGCTGGCGAGATATTTGTCGAGCATGACAGTACTGATCTTGTCTCTACCGCTATTTGAATACCTAGTCAACGAAAGCTTAAGGCCACACCAGTGGTAGCGTGACTGACCTGCCGCTGCTAGTAGTAGCTGCCGAGATGTTTGATCGAGAGGACATTGCGATTAGATCGGAAAACCTTCACACACAAGTGCTCGACGTAGTGGGCCTGGAGAATTGATTTTCTTTTATCAGCCGATAGCGAAGCTATGAAATACAAGCAACAGAGAACCGTCTCCCTAGCAGCATCCTCTACAATCACATTCTTTATACCTGGCGAAAAGAAAAACTGTTAACACAGTTAACACAGATTTTCTGATAACACGGGTGGTCTACAACACCACTTCACACATGAGGGTTGAAGACCACGAGATGGCGTAGAACACAATCGCACGCAGTCGGTATGAAAAACACAGTTGTGTTTTCTTTACTGATTGGGTGTTCCAGATACAGTCGCTCATTGGAGGACTAGCAAATTGAGGCGACAATGCACGCCTTGGGCCGCTTGTTGCCTAATATGTAAGCGCTGTCGCAGTTTTCGTTGCAGCTTAGCTTGCCTGATAGCGTTCCCCTCTTTCTCGAACCATCAAGATTCTCCTTCGATCATCATCTTGAAAGCTTTGTTTGACTGGGCAACAGCAACGACTTCAGATCGAAGCCTTGGCGGCTGCCATTATTGACTTTTGCGTCGCATCATTTTGTCCATATCTCTGCTGGTCCGGGCATTTGTTTACCTTGTCTGACATGATGCCTTATTCGGAAAGTCTCGTTGTTCACGTTGGGAACCGCATTCGAAGTGTGACGCGCAGTGGAACGGGAAGGCGACGATTGTATGGCGATGCTGTGGCTAATCGGAGTGACAAGGACCCTCAAAGTCGGAAGCGTCGGAGGCTTCGAAGGCATGACGATGATGACGACGATGACGATGATGACGAAGATGACGATGATGACGATGATGGCAATATTTGGAGTGAAGATGAACCTTCATGGCAGAAGCGACCACGTCGGTCATTTGCCTGTCCCTTCCTGAAACATGATCCAAACAAATATGGCGACTGCTGCAAATACAAATTATCTCGGATCGCCGACGTCAAGCAGCATTTATACCGAAAACACACTCCGCCATTCTATTGCGGTCGATGTTCAACAATATTTTCCTCGGAAATCGAACAACGCGAACACCTCACCCACAAAGTTGGCTTTGTGTGCCCGATATCTTTGAATCTGGAAGGAATATCTCATACACAAAGAAGGCTGCTATCTAAGAGGTCTATAAGAGGCCTCACCAAGCCGGAACAGTGGTTTTGTGTTTGGCAAATCATTTTCCCGGACTCTAGACCCCCAACATCAGTTTACCTGGAAGCCTCTGAGTCGAAGCGTACGGAGAACCTCGAGAGAGAAGAACTACAGAACGACTTCGCCTCCGGCATCGCCTGCGCGCCCAGCAGCGTAAGACATACCCCCGAAGTTACGTGTGTGCAGAGCAACGTAAGAAACACCCCGGTGTCTCCTTTCAGGCCCCTTAATTCGTTATCAGAATTGAACCATGATGACACATATGCCTTGAACCCTCTGGACGCTATATGTGAGGATTCGGCTTGGCTCTCTGTTTTATTCGGACCAGATGTTCTTCAGGAATACCAGCTACAGCAGTGTAGTCCACAGAAAAAAGAAGTCGACCTCGAGCACGCTAAGGTTGGCAGAGATATCCAACACACGTATTCATCAGCTGGCGCATTGGATTCGTCACTGGAGGAACGGTGTATCTCTGAGGCATGCCAGAGCATTCGGGACAAGTTCGACGATCCGGAGAGTTGGAAAACTCTGTCAGAAAGACTTCTCGAACTTCTGAGAGCCTTCGCAGTTAAAATAGGCCCGGAATCCTCCGATGAAGCGAATTTGAGAGTGATGTGGTTCTTTCACAAATATGGAGGGTAAGTCCTCTAACAGAGTGATGCCGACTATCGAGATTATCGAGTCAACTGACCCCGTGACAGAAGAATCGCTGACCAGCTTTTCGGAAATGATGATTCGCGCATCGAGCCTCCCGGAGAGAGCGAGAGTGTCAAGGGGCACGAGATGTCTACGGCAGAAAAGATGCAGCTCTTATGGGGGCAGACTCGCAACTGTGGCATCTCAGACGATGCGGATTGGTTTATGGATGATGGGGACGACAGTGACGAAAGCTTGACCAAGCTTGAGCCACCTAGCTACGGCAGCATCATTTTCGGAAGTGTTTCCTTCAACAGGCTTGTTCAGGGTCTAAAAAACGATTTCCGTCTCCAGGAGGATCATGGTATGCCTAACAATGTTGGCCCGAGGTCTGAAATCCGCCACAGAGTTCTTTGTAACATACCCACAGGGAGCACCAGCAAACTAGATCCACCTCCTGCTCATAAGGTTGTATTGAGGTTGAAAGATTGGCCATCTTTCGAACATCGATCGCCAGGGGATACTCATGGCCAGTCCTCCATTGCAGAATCATTCGGTTCTATTGTTATGGCATGTTGCGGTGCCAACTCTCAAGCACTTCCCATTGAGCAATACATGAGGCAGACATGGCCTTCAACCTGGTATCAAATTCTCAGCTTGTTGCGAACCGCAAGCACTGGGGAAATCACTGGAACATTTGCCAGTAAGTATGTTTCAGAATATAAGATATTTTCGCTAAGCCTCTCAAAGTCTGTCTGCCCGACAAAACACAATTGGCAGCCTGCGCCGAGCGATCTGACCTGATTGTGGGGGTTTCAGGACCCGCCTATGCGATTGCCGAATGTGTCGAGCAAGTTGTTTGGTTGCGGGCTGCACTCAGCCCCGTTGCAGATCATTCTGGTACTGGCTTCACGCGTGTTCCTGTGATCTCCGGTCCCGTTTCAAGGTTTGATGTGTCAGGCGCACTATTTGAAGCGCTTTCCTCACCAAAGGATCAGCACTATATCTGTTTCGACATAACCGCGACGGCTTCCGCCACATCAGAGAATCCGTTACATGTACTTCAACTGAGAACATTCTTCCCAGAGGGATTTATCGTTGTGCCAGGTTGTCCTATATTGCGTCGACCAGCTGGATATCATGGCGTTGAAGTGCCCGCCGAAGCAGTGCTACGAATATGGCAGAAGACCTCAATCGACACGCAGACAGAAGTTGAGCCACGGATTTCATCTACGACAAATCTGTCGCTGATCAAACAAGAGGATGGATTTTACATGTGGCATAAAACTCAGACCCCTCAGCAAGCTTGTCATTGCACCTCACCACAAACCCGAGACTTCAACAATGAAGGTGCTTCTCACTTTGTGAAGAGAATTTTGTCTAGTCGGCACTTTGTGGAACAGTGTAACAGTCAAGGTCGGTATTATCTCAACTTCTCATGCCAAGAACAGTCGCTAAACTATCTTCAATATAGGCAATAGCATCGAGGTGTCGTCCTTGCAGGCTCGCTGTTCGCCGGACTTGATTCGCGGCTTTTGTTCCCTTGATGCCGCCTCGTTTACACGCAAAGGAAGTGGAAGCAAGCAGGATTCAATACGGTCCTCGACGGGCTTCGTGGAACGCAATGAGCTGTCGATGTATACTGCACCTACAAACCATCGGCGCCAGGAAGATTTGTCCTCTTTAAGCCCGGCAGAGCTCTCCGAATCATCATTTGATTCCAATTGGTTTCTTTTATCTCAATCCTCTGATGACTCAGACGTTTGGGACAATGATGGCCCGTTGGGCGCGGTTTTAGATACTGTTGTTTGTCAAATAATGATCTCTCGGCTTGCTCCGAAGCTCAGGTCCGTTGCTGGAGGTCAGGCTTCTACGAACGGTGACGGCTATCCTGCCACGGCACCTTCCTCATTGTCCGAGCAACCTACAAACTCTTTTGTGGGAAGACTTACTACAGAACGAGGAAAAGGTGAAGATCATGATCCGGGATCTGGTGGAGATAGACCTCCGAAACGAAGAAAAACAACAGCAGAGGAACCACTTGCGCCAAGATCATTCGCCTGCCCTTTCTGGATGCTGGACCCAAGGAAGCATGCACCATGCATAGGGAGAAAGTTGTTGAGAATTTCGGATGTGAAGCAGCATCTCAACAGGAGACATATGCTTTACTTCTACTGCAGAGTCTCCTTAGCAGTTTTTCCTGACCAACAGCGTCTCGACGAACACACGCCTAGTGCAAACACCTTCCTTTGCGAGCTTGCCCCTCCTAGCAGAAAGCTTGACCTTCAGGGAATTTTGCCTAATATCTCTAAAAAGCTTTCGAAGAAAGCAAAAGGGTCTACGAAAGAGAACCAATGGTTTGGGGTATGGGATATATTGTTCCCTGGACACCCGCGTCCCCCGTCCCCGTACTTGAATATCTCCCTCTCTGAAGATGTATCTTTGTTGAGGAGAGAAGTACTTTTGAATGCACCTGCTATGTTGGTACAAGCGCTGGAGGAAGCTGGGATGTCGGATCAGCTTCGTCCGAGCGGCGGGCAAGACTTGCATGAGATTATCCACCAAGCTACCGAGGTGATTTTTGACAAGTGCTGCACTCGCGCGTTCGCGGATACGGAAACGAGGGGCCGCCGACAGAGTGACATTGTAAGTCGGGGAGACTCCAGTCCAAATTCAAGTGATCAGAAAACACCTGCTAGATCATTCACGGACAGCGGAGTTGGCACTGAGACACCATTCACAACCTCTGTCAGGCAGCCTACGAAGCCCCCGTTTCCTATTGACATAAAGGATCCGATACATCAAACACAACAAAATGCACCGCAATCAACCGATGCTCATATGAGATTGACAACAATACCATGTGGAGAACCGGTCCAACCAAGAAGTGGTATGGTGAGAGAACCTCCGGGATTCTCCGACGTTATGCTGCACCATCGAAGTAGCAATCCTGGGATTGATAGTCAAGCAGAGCTGGAGCCGGAGACTGCAATCGAACAGTATTTTGAAACTGAATTGCATCAGTTTGCCCCGAATGATAGCACAAATGGGGTTGCAG